GTTTTTTCTTCTCCAAACCGCCCGAAGTTAGAATAAGACAAGACACTGGACCAGAGACTTTACGAACAGCTTAGCTTAGCTTACCTGCTCTCTCAACTGACCCTCAATCCCCTTCTTTTGCGAGTCGTCCAAATTATGCCAGACCTTATCAAGCGACAGGCCTGGCTGGGTACGCGATCAGTCACCAAGACCGTATCTATGTCTCCCACATCCCAGCATCCATCCCAGCACGTACTCGAGATGCGAGAATGCCATCCATTCTCATGGGCATACTGCATGCATCATTGCAGCTTCGGATCGCCGGAATGTATGGGTATAGAAGTACTTGATATTAACGGCGACTAGTCTGCCGGACGGCCCCTGTCGTGGACTCGACCACTCTGGTATTCCCTCTTTCCTCGATGTTATTTATTATTGCCTTGAACGAGATTTCGTCGTTCCTCTGCGTTCCTTTTCGAAATACTCTTTCCGCTCCTCCGTGGTGAGGTTCGCCCACCACGTCTCAGTAGTGTCCATGGTAGAACGAACGATTTGGAGATGGGATAAACCGAGGGAGAATAATATCCGATAGGAACAGAAGGGGGTGTTGGAAGGTGATCAGAATTGATAAGATGTGCAGACCATATAAATACTATTTATATCACACTGCAGTGGCAATTGATCGAGAATCCGAACGAGGATGAATTTGAAGGGAGCATCCATTTTTGAGTCTAACGTCACTGGATCTGAATTCACGGCATCAATAGCTCGGTTTCATGGTGTCTTTTAATTGGGAAAGTTCCGCTATGTAATAACATGAAGTTTTGATTGACTAGAGATTGGATTCACTTGGACACGGTCTGTTCAATTGAGGGACAAAACATTTTAGTTGTTCGAAGGAGCCACAAATTATATATACACTATCCCAACAACCTGATGCTTATCATCATAGTATCTAGTGCAATGATTGCAAAAATCAGCATTTATTCACCTTTTTCGTCAGGACGTGCTGTGTCCTTTCTATTAGATTACACGTTTTTATCAGGCTAGTATTCGCTTTATTCGAATCTGCTAGTTCTCCACTGAAAAACGCAGTTCGCTAAGTTTGACCTAAACCCCTCTGATTAATCCATACAGTTAGATTTCTTTATTTTCAGATCGATGTAAATCCTGGAAATGCGCCGGATATGATCATCCCTCCGACCCTTGTACATGCAAGATGCCCATAATCCTTCCGGCCAGAAGAGATTTGGCGAAGTCATAGAAAACGAGAAACATGAGGGTAATATACACGCCGGTCCACCATCGTTAGTTGAAATACACGCTTCATTGCTCCTGGGTCGTGTCATTCTCCTCGTCAGACACCTGCGGGGCCCAGATCCCCAACGACTCGCCTCCCAGTAGCCTGACGCCGGGCTTTGCGTGCGTGTTCACCATGGATTTGCTGGACACTGCCAACGCGTTCATCAGCTCTCCAACGCGGCGGGCCGCAACGAAGCTGCTCGTCAGATGCTCCACTTCAGCCACCTGGGTTGCCAAGTTCATGCACTGCACCAAGAGCTCGCTGCTAAGCACATGAGCCGAGAAATACATCGTGTTGTGGTAATCGAGGAACACTTCGGGAATGTAGGTGTTACGAATCTCCTCCAACTCCTCCTTCTCGGCTTCTATATTGACCATGTTAGTAATGATACACTCAACCTCAAGCAGACAAGGCTGCTTACCATTCTCGTAATTGACCAGCCACTCGTCCAACATGACGTCGATTTGGACGCTAGTGTCATCCAGGGCTTCCTGTAGCCCTTCTCTCAGGTCCTTGAGCATACCCGAATCACGCCGCCGTTTGTTGCTGCGCCAGTGGTGAGTACAACGCAAACCCATTCATAGATTGTCATGACATACTTTTCTAGTTTTTCATAGATAATGGCATATCTCTCCAGAGCGTCTAATGCCAAGATAAGGACCTCCAGGTCACGCATGGTCTGCGATTGCTGGAGTAAGATGCTCGCCTGGCTTCCCGACGCAACTCCGTTGGTTCGCGACCGAGAACGCTTGTGAGGAGAGCTAAGCAATCTCGACTTCGTCGGACTGGAAGGTTCTGGGGTGTTGACCTCTTGCATCGCCGCCACATCGAGGCTAAACTCCGAAATGTCAAAGCCGAACATTTCCCGCGAGATGTCGGATAGCTTCATCCGCCGACACAGCTCCCGAGCTGCAGAGAGTCGACCCGAAACTGTGATATTGTTAGCCTTGCATCTCCTACACGGAACAAGGGTATGTCCATACTATAGAACTTGCGGTACAACAAAGATCCGAGCTGACAGATCCGCCCCCACTGTCCATCCACGTAGCGAAGCCATTCGAGACTGCGTATGACATTCTCATCACTTTCAGATATCTCGGTTCCAATGAAATCCGTCTTGACCGGGACCAATTCAAGGTTGCCATCCTTGCGGTTGACAACCTTCGGGTGCCGCTTGACCGTCCTGGAGTGGTCGATGGCAGAGACATTCACGCTCAGCCACTCCCATTGGGTCTGCAGGACAGCCTCGACGTCGATACCGTGCTTCTCCATCAGTCGAACCAGGTTCTTTCTCTCCCGTGGATCAACAATCTCGATCAATACCTGAGCCAGAACAGACCTCGTCAAATCCTCCGGGAGAAGGGAAGCATAGAGCGGAATGATATCCACAACACCGAGGGATTCCAGGTTAGCGATATACCCGATCACATTCACGCAGGCAGTGTTGTAGAATTGAGTGTCGGCGCGAACGTATCCAATGGAATGAGCGACGATGTAAAGATGGGTGGCAATCCGGAGCGCATCACCGTCCTCTGCAGCAATGACAAGACTGTCATCGACGGAGGTAGGTGACACATCAGGAACGAAGGATGACGCATCAGATTTGTTGTTTGCAACCTGGGATACTGCCTGGGCTAAGGAATAGAAGAATGCGTCGTATCCTTTGCCCAAGATTGTCGCCTGGATAGTGCGGTACGGGTTCCGTGCCTCGCTTCCAACGCGCTCGTTTCCTCTAGTGTACTGCACGAATTTGTTGAATTCGGCATATCCTGCCGGCTCAGGCACGAAGGCAACAGGGGTTGTAGGCGAATGGCTTAGCTTCCGCTGGAACTGCTTACAGAATCCCTGGTAGCGAGACAGGAGGACGCTGTTGAAGTGCACGAAGAGATAGTCATCCCAGGTATGACAGACCTTGAAGGCTGCCTCTGTTTCGCCGCAGAGCAACGCATAAACCGCCCGCTCAAAATCCTCGGCGTGTGGACTCCGTGCCAAAGCACTGCAGGCGGCCCTCCAGGACTCTTGGGAACGCCAGTTCATCAGGCGTGTGTGCCCATCATCAACAGGCGTCCTTCCAGTGTGTGTTTCAACATCCACGCTAGTACCACAGATGCTGACGGCCCGCCATGTTTCCAACCGCTCTGCACACCATTCGCGGATCTTGAACCAACTCTCCCCATGTCTGAGCATCTTCCAGCACGTCATCCATGTAGCGCGCTCGTAGAACTGATCCTGCTTCTGTAGGCTCTGCCTTTGGCGGGTGACGGCATCCGGATCTAATTGGGTGACTAGTGGCTCCGACTTATCCGAGCTCAGAAGCGTAGCGGTGATGCCCGGGTCATTGGGTTCGAGGGGTTGGGGCCAGGCTCGCAGTCGCTTCTGTCCCTTGATTGTTTCCTTCGTGTAAAGCCATCCGTGGGACCATGATCCCTGCCCTCTTTCGGCCTGTGACTCTAACTCAGAGATTAAATAGTCCACATCTTGCGTGCTGTATTTGGCCGAGCGTTCGAGCCACTTCAGGATGATAACGCATTCCGTCGCATAATGGTCCGCAGTCAAGAATTGGTCCCAGACGTCGCGATCGGGGGAGTACCGGTGCAGATTCTGGAAGACAGATTCTTGCGACTTCTTGGAGTCGGCTCTGCGGGGCGGATCGTCCCTGCTAATAAGGTTGAGGAGAAGTCGCCAAGTGTCGGCTTCCAATTGTAGACGCCGGAGCTCCTCTGCAGTCTTGGGATCGAACGATGCGGATCCGTTGCTTCGAGCAGCACCCAATCCAAGCTTGGCCCGTTTCAACGTGTTTTGTTTCGTGATGTCGCTGATTGCATCTTGCGCGAGGGTCTGGTAGCTCTTAACCAGGTTATAGGCAGCTTGGTAGTTCGAGAAGTCCTCCGAGCGGTTTCCTTTTTGCTTGAAACGATCCAGTTTTTCGGCGAAGGCCTCAATCTGGCGCGTGACTCGATCTGCGGTGCGGCGAAGGGGATGCAAGGCCTCCTGCGCGCCTGCCGACGTAAACAAGTCCGGTGTTGCGGCGTCTATACCATCTAGCAAAGTCAGCCTTCCTAGCACTCCCAGAAGTCGTGAGGAGCATACTATGTCCATTTGGAGCGAACCCCAGATCCAGTGGCGATTCGCTTCCATTCAGCGCGTCAGCGGCCTCTTCCTCAGATTCCTCGTCTTCGTCAACATAATCATCTTCCATGTCTTCATCCTCATTGGGCTCCATGTCGTCTCCCTCTTCGTCCATGGGCTCATCGTCATCATCCTCGATTTCAATAACATCCGACTCGTTCGTTGGTTGTTGGGAGGGCTGGACAGTAAAACATCGGTCGGTCAGCGCACCGCCTTACAAGAAAGCCAAAACAAAGCAACTCACATTTATGGACGTGAACCCGGCAGGGGCGCCCGAGCCCGTGGCCCTGGTTAAGGGTGCCATGAGCGCGAGGAAAGGCCGGGGAGGTTGACCGGGAGAGAAGGGGTGTGTCGGGGGAAGGGCGATGATAGAGATGGAGGGTGTTTGCGAAGGGACCTTTAGCTTCCCAGGAGGATTCGGGGAAGAACTGCAACTTCCAATCTTCTTCGTCTTACTCTTTTTGGCCGTGTTTTGGGCCGACGGGCCACTAGCCCAGATGGGGACTAGCGCCAACAACACACCATAAAAACTCGCGCACTTCGGCTTTTTCCTCTTCTTTTTTTTTTCTTTCTTCATCAAATGTCTATAGGCAATCATTAGAGTCTCGGAACGAGCGCTTCAATCTTCGTTCAGGTCAATCGGCCTCTCAGCGTGCTCAAGATTGTCTTAGAGAAATTTGGCAATTTTCACAACTAGCCTAGCTCTTTCCTCGAATGGGAGCTCAGACTGCAAGGGAATTGTCACATTCCAGCCTCAGTTTTACCTGAGATGGATTGTCTACTAAGACTATCACTATCACTATTTTCCGGCAACGACTCGACACGTTGTCAAGAGCCTTGATGAATTGGTCTCTACTCTATTGTCGACAAAAGTATAATCGGTAGTATGTACACGGTCCGTAGAACTCTGATGAGACACGAAATTCTCTGCAAGGCAAGCTAAGGCTCCATGCCCCGTTGCTTCATCTTCAGACGCAGCAAGTTGGGCTTAGGACAACTTGGAGTCTTTGCGTCCTCCCCTCGCGCCTGGTAGAAGGCATTGCAACATTCATAAAGGGCATTGATCTGGGATTGACATTTCTCTTCCTGGTATGAGTTCTTCGTGAGGCATGCTGCAAGAATTAGTGCCATTTCTGCACGTGGATGTTGTATGGTGGTAGTCACCTTGTATGGCACACTGGCAATTGTTAGTCATGCACCAAACAAATGTTCCAACTAGTATCTGTGACCTACAGCTCGTGGATGGCAAGGCGGGTCAAATGCTATGTCTTCCTTAAGTCCGCCCTGCTATCTGTTACTCTCAACTCAAACGGGAGTCAATGGTTACACTCATACCATGACGCAATATACTATACTCAGCCAGAGAACTGGCAACAAGACAGAAGTAAAATCACAAATGAAGGATCCCAAAGGCTAGGACTGAAAACAAAATAAAAACTAATCCGAAAACTGAAAAGAAAATGACCCAACACTGAAAGATGTATAAAGAGAAAATCAAGTATCAGAAGTAGTAGTAACACCTTTGATCTCATTCACTGCAGCGAAGCAACGGGAACTTGGACCTGCGCCGCAAAAATAGATTCTCCGATATTTATAACTGGTGGGGGTTGCCTTCATCGCCTCCAGCTCAGTTTCAACACCCCATCCTTTTTCTTCTTCTCTCAGTCATATCTCACGTCCACCAGCTTCTTCTCCTCGTCCGGCTCTCCGCCAGTGCTCTAGCGCATAACCCCGATCCCTTCAAAGCGGCAAACAGGTAAGCCCACGCAGTCTGACGAACTCAACTTGCGACGGGAAGTCCTCCCAAAGCTGACAACTCGCCCTCCTCCAGTTTCCAAGCCCTCCATCGTCTTTATTCCCTTCTACAACAATGGCCGACTCCGGAGAGGCCCCCGCGGCTGTCGAGCACCTCAACATCAAGGTGACCGACAACAACAATGAAGTGTTCTTCAAGATCAAGCGCACAACCCAGTTGAAGAAGTTGATGGACGCGTTCTGCGAAAGGCAAGGAAAGCAGCCGTCTACGGTCCGCTTCCTATTCGATGGCACCCGTGTGCGCCCTGAAGATACACCCGATACTGTATGTTCTAGCAATGACAACCCTTTTTTCTGTGATGTGTTCATGTGCACGCACTGCGGCACCTTTCCCCGCACGAACACCTTCTTCCATCTCCTCTGGCAGACAGACCCTAGAGAACCGCAAAGCACACGGCTAACTTATCCTGAAATTATGTAGCTCGAGATGGCCGATGGGGACACTCTCGAAGTGCACCAGGAACAAATCGGTGGCTAGATAGCATAATCTCTCTCGATGAATCATGATTATTATGTCTTTTCAAAATACATTACCAGCCCCGTCGTGTTTCTTACTTTACTTAACCAACTTTATCTTCTCCCGACCATCCTCAGATCTGTTTCTCCCGTTTCTATCAAACAGATACAAGGCGCAACATGGTGTTCTACTTGGTTGATGGGTCGGAGCCGGACCCGGATTTGGAGAGCGTCCTATTATGAGATGTGTATCTGGCTAGGGATCAGGAAATTTTTCAGAGTGATAAATAAGAGGGTTGTTGACGTCGACGAAAATATGATGAATGGTTACTCTACATTTCTTTTGCTATCTTCGCTGTTTTGCAAGATTTTGGGGAGCTGAGAAGGAAAAAGAATATGAGCGTCTAGCATCTGTTGTGTGCAGATGTCTACCGTTTGGATAGATTCTCGAGCACTATGTTCAAGCTACGCTGGGTTGCAACTTTTGCAAAACTAGATAGGGGGTTCCTTTTCTGGAAGTCCATCCGTCTGAACTGGTATAGATTCACCGAAAGACTATATTACAGTCCTGTATAGTTTGGACCCAGTGAGTCTGAGTGTATGTGGTAGGATAGGAATGTGACAAGAGGAAACCAGACAACCGACCCACCCCGCAAGCAAACAATTAAGGAGAGAAAAGAAGATGAGAAACGCAGCACCTGGCACACCCCGTCACCTTCAGAGCCGAAAGTAGAAGCAAAGAATATGTATCTCCACCAACCCCACACCCAGTAATAGTACGGAGTAGTTACTCCGTTGATATAAGATAGTGTTCATCACATGTCCCAGACTGCCGCCTTAGCCTTCTCTTCTTCCTCCTTCGCCTTCGCCGCCTCCTCCTTTTCCTTATTCCGCCTCTTAATCTCTTGCTCCTTTACCGCGCGGTCATACGCCCGCTGCTCCTCCGTGCGCTTGGGCGCCCGAATTCCCAGCGCTCCCGCAATCATCCTCCCCGCCACAGCCGTCTGTTTCTCCGGCCTCCTCGCCGGTGATCTCGCCTCTGATCGTCCACCATAAGTAGGCCACGGCGGCTGCGATGCAGACGTCTGCGGTGAGATGGGCGTGGGTGGGGGGTCCAAGGGGCCTTCAGTGTAACGGATAGAAGGTGACAATGCGGGGCTGGCGAAGCGGGAGGAGGTAGCGGGGGAGGTGGATGAGATGTCGGCTGCTCCTCCTTCGGGGTCAGAGGAGGCCGAGTCTACTTCATCTTCCCAGGAGTCGGCGACGGGGGCAGGCTCTTTCTTCTTCTTCACCGTGTGATGGTGTTGTTTGGGGACAGAGGTGGGGGGAGTCGGTCGGGGAATATCTTTAATGGGACTTTTATTGGCGAGGGAGAGTTCGCGGAGAGAGGATTGTAGTTCGGAGGTTGCTGATGCTGATGCTGTTGGCGGTGTTGTTGCTGGTGGTGTGGCTGGAACGGACATTGGGGGTGGTGTTAGTGTTGGTGTTTGTTGCAGCTGATTATGTTATGGGAGTACCATGGGGTACTGTGGGGTGAGGAAGTAGTAACAATGGGGGGGATCTGGGGAAGGAGGAAAGAATAGCGAAGGAAAGGAAGAAGATGATTGAGGAGGGGCTCAGTTATTGCAACGGCAGTACAATTGGGGAGGGAGAAGGGAAGGTTAATAAGAGGAGGAATGAAGGAACGAACCCTTGGAATTGAAACTGGCATGTGCGGCCGCCATATCGACTACGAATTGATGAAATTCTATTATTGAAGATCTTGGAGTGGTTCGTAGCAGAACAATGCAGAGTGGTCCGACCGCTTTCAAGCAAATCGAAAAGGTGAAATCATGAATGGCGTCAGTCCCGGCAGTGCGACCCCGCCTTTCGGGGAAGGCGGGCCCCGTGATTGGCTCTGCTTGGGGCTGGCCAGAGTTCGAGTTGGTCCATCGCTTTTGTCTTTCTGGCGAGAATTTGCAGTTTGGGGTAACGGTTCACGTTTCCACCATTGTGTGGTGGCTGATCTGCGTTGGGAAGTCACTTATCATGGCACAGATTGGTTGTTTGACTGGCCAGTTTCTTGCTGGTGTGTACATTGTGATGGGAGAGTTGGGTCATTGATCTACATACTCCAGTTCAAGGCTGTAACGCTACTAGCAAGGATTACTGAAGTCGTGTGATCTGATCTCAGGATGTGTATCTCTCAATATTTGGGACACTTACTTTGTAGTCCAAAGTATGTTCTCACATCTGCATTGTTCGCATTCTGTTTGTAGATAAGTACTGACTAAGCAGTTGGGAGTGTGGGGTGATCTCCAATCCTTGTTCCCAGAGCCTAGAATTCATAAAAATAGACCACTTGACATCATCTACCAATATCTCACTAGTCGATGCAATTCGATAAGATTGCCTTTTCGGTGGGCGAAGGGAGCAGGGTTTTCATTCATGTGAAGTCTTATCACCAAGTTGTGCTGCCCAAGAGATCTAGAACATATTTGCTGATAGGAAGCATTACTGCTAGTGCACCATGACTGCGGACGCAGACCGAGACATGATACCATCGAGTAGGGGCCTTCAAAGATAACTGAAGGACTATGTACCTCACAAGGTGTTGGGAACTGGTACAATATCATTTCTATTGGAGTATACAGCACCGAGCATTGCTGCACGCCACTACCAACAAATGCCCACCAGCTAGATGAGAACATACACAAACTGGAAAATACGAATAGAGAAACGCACGTTATACATACACTAAGTTCTCCAGTGCCAGTCTGCACTTTCTTCAGCCTCTACACCAAAGCTGTGGCTCTTAACACCGCCGGCGGAGCATGTGGCATTTGCCTTTCCGAGTCCCAAGTACTACCCGGCAACACGTTTCCGAGACCACCAATCACAGCAATGCATGACTGTCCCGAGAGCCCACATCCTCTTGTTTAGTACCTCGGAAACAGTCGGCAGGTTGTCCGAGACCGGCGGAGTATCCGTCTTATAAGACATCAATTCCCGAGGTTAGTCTTCCGCCCCTTCAACTCTCTCCAGGCCTGTAGACCAGTCTAGCAACTGGCTGTCGATATTGCTCTACTTCACGAAGTGGCCGTGAGTGGTAGTCACTGATTTGTTGTCACTTCCATCATTTAAACCTATCATTCTCGCAATTGGTGTTCTTATAATACCCCACACTGAAATAGCCGGCTATTGATCTCCATCAAGTAACCACAGCACGGAACCCACTATGTCCCGCCTGGCTTCATTGTCTGCGCCGGCGAGAAGGCCTCTCGTCCGTGCTTCAGTGAGACAATCACAGGGGTTCTCGACCTCGTCCAGGAGCTGCAGTTATGCGGACACGCTACAGAATTTGAAGATCGGAGCTCACACGCGGGTCTTGTTTCAGGGATTTACAGGTGAGTCTGTCTCTCAATATCTACGATCTTACATTGACAATAAGTTTAGGTAGACAGGTAAGCGGGCTTCTAGTGTAATTGCAATAGGTCTTAATTAACATGCCAGGCCACTGCCAACGTCAAGGAGTCCTTAGAGTGGGGCACGAAAATTGTCGGGGGCGTTAAGCCGGGCGTCGAAGGAGAGCATCTCGGTCTTCCAGTGTTCCCATCTGTAAAAGCGGTATGACTGATTGTCTACTTATCCGGGCATCATACTTATACAGACAGGCCCAAGAGAGAGCGAAACCGGACGCATCTGCGATCTACGTGCCAGGTAACCAGACTGCGAAGGCGATAGAAGAGGCAATAGAAGCGGAAATTCCTCTTGTTGTAGCAGTGGCAGAACACGTCCCTATCCATGATATTCTTCGAGTAAGCAATCCGGTTTGAGAGCGTTGTCTGTGAGAGCTATAAACTGATGGTAACTAGATCCATTCTATGCTGAAGACTCAGTCAAAGACGAGATTGGTCGGTGCCAACTGTCCGGGAATCATCTCTGCAATTGGCAAATGCCGGATCGGATTCCAGCCTCTGCCCTGCTTCGCACCTGGCAATATTGGCATTGTCGCGAAGTCAGGGACCCTGAGCTATGAGACTGTTGCGTCCACAACGCGGGCAGGTCTGGGGCAAAGTCTCTGTATCAGTATGGGAGGGGATGTTCTAGCAGGAACTAACTTCGTCGATGCACTGAAGATCTTTGAAGAAGACCCTGACACCGAGGGGATCATCCTGGTTGGCGAGATTGGTGGTACGGCAGAGATCGACGCGGCGGAGTGGATCAAGGACTACAATCAGAGGACTGCTAACCCCAAGTATGTGGAAGAGCCATTCGTTCCATGGGAAGCAATGCTGACAAGTACAGACCGATAATGGCCCTCGTTGGAGGCTTGCATGCTCCTCCTGGACGGATCATGGGCCACGCAGGTGCATGGACAGCAATTGGGGAGCCTGGCGCGAAGGCCAAGTATGAAGCGCTCGAACGGGCCGGCGTGATGATGGTCAACCATCCCGAGAAGTTCGGAGAGGGGATGAAGTCACTTCTGAAAACTCGCGGGCGCGTGGGCACTACTGTAGGTTTGTGACCGGCGAAACACAACAGCTTACTTACATGGAGTAGTCTATCAATGGCGGGAATCAGCGGCGAGGCCTACATACAATGAGGCGCATCAGACCTAACCGTTACGGCGTCTCTCAGCCCCAGCAAACCAGAAGTCTATTTGTTAAGCCGTTCCAGGCTCTCGATATGCTCAGAAAAGAATCAATCCCCGTCAACGAGGCTGCACCCTCCGAGTCGGACTTCTTCTTGTCCCTCACCGTTGATAGGACAGCTTTGTCGCCGTGTATTCTTGCCTCCACATCCGCTGGCTTCGAACCAGCACAGACGGGCCGGTTCCCATTTTCATACGAGGGCACGGACTTTAGCAGCACAAACCGCCTGGTTGAAGCGGTTGCCTCCCACCTGCAGCTTCCCGCAACGGCACACGACAACCTGGCGCAGCTGCTGCAGGGATTATGGCGGGTTTTCAAGGAAAAGGAGGCGTACCTCCTGGAAGTACGCGCCAACGCCACAAGTGCCTTTGAAGTCCGCGATGCCCGCTTTGGGTTCGATGACGCTGCTTTTCGGAGCTCAGGACGCCAGGAAGACGTACAGCAACTGAGAAACCCAGCAGAAGAGGTACCTGAGGAAGTCGAAGCCGAGAAGGATGGCATTGTCTACGTCAAGTAAGCCATCCCAGTCATCCCTGTGTAACCTACACTGACCGAGCACAGACTGGAAGGCAAAGGAAGCATCGGAACCCTAGGTAAGTCCATCCCCAAACCCCACATCTACGAGGTTACCATCCCACTGACCTCGTAGTGAACGGCGCGGGACTGGCAATGAACACGGTGGACGCGCTGACGATCCATGGCGGACACTGCGCGAACTTCCTGGACACGGGCGGCAAAGCCACGACCGAGACAGTCAAGTCCTCATTTCGGATCATCACGTCGGACCGACGCGTGAAAGCGATCTTCGTGAACATCTTCGGGGGATTGACACGGTGCGACATGATCGCGGAAGGGATCATCCTCGCAATTCAGGAGATGGAGATGACAGTGCCCGTGGTGGTGCGACTGCGCGGGACAAACGAGGAGCGTGGGCAGCAGATGGTCAGTTTGATTCCGTAAACTTTTTCCCAACACTTGATCATGAAAAGCTAATTAATTAATGTTCCGGATAGATCGCGGAGAGTGGGTTGCCACTGGAGGCATTTGACAGTTTCGAAGCGGCAGCAAAGCGAGTGATTGACTTGGCCGACAAGCAGTAGACTTAACTGACATACAACACCTAGATAGATAATCAATATCAATCAATCCATCACTCTAGATGAATTAACGTTCTAGACACATGGCATTAAAGCGAGGTACGTAACGTCGCCCATCGCTCCGAGCCAATGACTCCTCTCCCGGCAGAACCCCATCCAAGGAAACGCAGGAGTACGTAAGTGCAAGTCGTCAAATGAAATCGACCCCGCGATCGGCGCCCGCCCCGCTGTTTCACCCTTTTCTATCCCAATCCTTTTTCTACGTACTTCAACCCCTCCTCCTCTTCCCTCCTCTTTCCAAACCCTCCTCCTCCTTCTCCCAATTACCCATACCACACACACCCTCAAAATGGCCACGTACGTCCCCCATCCCCATCCCCAATCCCTTATCCCCAAACCCCCCAACTAACCCTCCCCCCCAAATAGCAACATCACCTACCACGCCAGCGGCCTCACCCGCACGGAGCGCAACACCCTCCGCTCCCAACGGGGCCTCACAATCTGGCTGACCGGCCTCTCCGCATCCGGCAAATCCACACTAGCCGTCGAACTCGAGCACCAGCTCGTCCGCGACCGTGGCGTGCACGCCTACCGCCTAGACGGCGACAACATCCGGTTCGGCCTCAACAAGGACCTTGGATTCAGCGAAGCCGACCGGAACGAGAACATCCGGCGGATTGCCGAAGTGGCCAAGCTGTTTGCCGATTCGTCCGCTATCGCCATCACTTCTTTCATCTCGCCGTACCGCAAGGATCGCGACACCGCGAGACAGTTGCATGAGGTGCCCACGCCCGGAGAGGAGACGGGTCTGCCGTTCGTTGAGGTGTATGTTGATGTGCCTGTCGAGGTGGCGGAGCAGCGGGACCCCAAGGGGTTGTATAAGAAGGCTAGGGAGGGTGTGATTAAGGAGTTTACGGGGATTAGTGCCCCGTATGAGGCGCCGGTTAAGCCTGAGGTTCATGTCAAGAATCATGAGGTGCCCGTGCAGGAGGCCGTTGCGCAGATTATTCGGTATTTGGATGAGCAGGGGT